TAACTAGCGATAATGCATTTCATGTCCGAATTACTTTTGTTTAAATAAGGCAACTAAAAACCTTTTTTATAATTGCTCAAAATGTGTGCCTGGATCTCCAGAGCACTAGCTGAGAGGATTGTCTTGAAGTTAGTGCGCGCGGCTTCATGCTGAGACCCGATGAAGATCAGCGTGCACGGGACAGAACGCCCTCCGAATCGGGTCAGATTACACCACATGTATCAACCATGATACTGCGCGCTTTCAACCCGGTCTGAGGACAACCGGTCTCTACTGCGTTCTCCCAATGGCATGCACATCCTTGTCTGAATGTTGTTTTCTTACTGGGGCCATGCACTTTTGCGATCAAGCGGCCAGCTCGCTACCATGAGAATCGCGATGCCGATTCTGTTTGTTGTGGCGGTTGTTCCAGTAAATGTAGATTTTAGTTGCCATCGCAAAAGCCGTTGAGACGGGTCCGTTGATTGCGCTGACAACACCAAGACAGTCTGAGGTGTGGTTCGCTAACTGAGCTGCCTAATCACCCATCTAGTTTACAGTTTGGGCGCGGGCCTAGCCAATGCAGTGATCGCCACGGCAAGAACTGAGGGTTGTGCGTGGGCGAAAGTTCACCTCAAACATGCGGAAACTATGATCACACACCCTCGCGGCAAGGCATTGGCCTTGATTGCTTGCACCAATCAATTTATTCGTCGATGGTGCACGATTCCCATGTGGTTTTGTTATTGCATACCGCTTACGGCCGTAGTTCGGGTCTATCCCAATGTCTCAGGTCCGCTTCGATTCAGGGCTTCGTAAAATCGGTCTGTGGAGGAAGTTAACTCCTCGAGATGGACTCTGTCTGTTTTGGGCTGTACATGATCAGGTAAGTTCCAAAGCAGGAATGACTTGCACCTTTTTCCATATGAAACGCCACAACCGACGTAGAAAGTTGAATTTTTAGCGATCTGAATTTTTCACCCGATGCATCGTGAAAAGTGAATTTGTGCCTGATAGATGATTTTTTCTGACAAATTTGATGATGACACTTTCACTGTGATATTAGGTGCGTTTAGACGATTGAGTTGGTTGAGTATCTGTCATGTGGTGCCTAGGTGTCCCCGTATCTGTGGAGAATTCATTCGATCAAGATGACTTCTTCCCACGGGACCTATTTTACTGTAATAAAGTGAAGACTTGTCCATGCCGCGTTCTACTGTTTCGACTGTGGCTCACTTTGAGAGCTTCAACTATGAATTTGCCAGGCTGGGTATAACAGAAAGTGATAAGCAAGAGTATTTTAAATTCATCTTAGGCATCTCAGTATACCACGTTTTGCGTAGCGTTATTACTAACCACTAATTATTAGTAATATTGCTACCCTGAACGTGATACTTATGATAACAGAGATCCACATAGTCCTCCGGATGTGAAGGTTGACCTCGTGGATTATGCTCATAGCATAATTTGTTTCGGCCAGTAGCAGTAGGTATGGAACCACTCCCATCCTGATGAGTTCCGTACTCATTTCTGGCGTGTAACCGCATAGAAGGTTGCTCATTGGTTTCATTCGAATAGACACGGCCGATTTACTTCGTACCACAGTGACAGATGTGATTCTAGAATGTGCCCAACATCACATAAGAACATATGTTCTAAAGCGAACAATTTTTCACTGATTCATTTAAAACCCGTGTTGATGATTAAACTATCACCACTCTAAGGAGTCAACCCATATGAACTCATCAGAATCGTTCGCGTGGCCACAGAATACCTTTTAGTGCCACTGGGTTGTCTGGTGTACTTACAGACCCAATGCTTTTGAAAACATCTATATATACCTGTATTGGTCTCATCTGAGGTCGTTCACTCGCTTGGCTGCTTTTAATGCGATCTAAATGGACCGTAGCGGGAGACAGTGTACCAACGGATTAATGAACGCAGTTCGCACCACCAGTGGCGTGGAGGGGAAACGTCTTACAGGAGGTTCACTCCTTTCCAACTAGACGGGCACCGGTCACCCAATGAAATCTCAGTCAACCTCCAGAATTATCTTTCGAGTACCGCCTCGCCGTCTCCGCACCTAACCATCAGCGATTGGCACGCGTTTGTACATAACAAACTGGTGTGTGAGAAAGGTTACACCACACCGGTGAACCACCATGGCCGCGAATCGATCACTGCGCCCATTACAATCCAAGTTCAATGGTTCCGTGACCTAGAGATGCGAAATGCAGTGCACTACTTTCCCTCATCCTTCCTCCCTCAACCTGTACACGCGAACCTTTGATCAAGTGAAAGTCCAACCCTTGAACATACCTCATCGTTATTTGATCCGCATTGAAAAGAAGATGAATTGCCTAAAACAGGAAATCGCCTTTGGTCGTGTATTCACAAGTGAGTGAACTGACACTAAGAAGCGTCGAAGTCAGTATTTTCATCTGTTGACCGTGAACTG